CTTTGGTAGCTAGGAGCATCCCTATCAACGAACACTTGGGGCTGGCATCCTAGAGGTCAGCCTAAGTGGTATACCTGTTGCAAATTTAGAAATGTGTGGGTATGTTTGGAAAGTCCAGTGGGATTTCATTTACACAAAAGATGGAAGGGCCTTATGGGAAAGACCTTTCCGAAGGGAGAGAGAGGACTAAGGATAATGGGTTAAGGAGGAAGGAAAGGTAGATTTTTATTTTTTTTTGGATAACAGCTTTATTGAGACATAATTTACCGTTCACTCATTTAAAGTTACAATTCAATGTGGGACTTCCCTGGTAACGCAGTGGTTAAGAATCCGCCTGCCGATGCAGGGGACATGGGTCTGAGCCCTGGTCTGGGAAGATCCCACATGCCACGGAGCAACTAAGCCTGCGTGCCACAAGTACTGAGACTGTGCTCCAGAGCCTGCGAGCTACGACTACTGAGCCCACGTGCCACAACTACTGAAGCCCGCGCGCCTAGAGCCCGTGCTCCGCAACGAGGAGCGGCCACCACTTGCTGCAACTAGAGAAAGCCCACGTGCAACAGCACAGACCCAGCGCAGCCAAAAATAAATAAATTTTTTAAAAGAATGCTGTAAAGTTACAATTCAGTGGTTTTTGTTTTATTCACAGAGTTGCATAACCATCACCACAATGAAATTTAGAAAATTTTCATCACCCCCAAAAGAAAGCGTGTACCCTTTAGCCACCACCCTACAATCTGTCCTGTTCCCACAGCACTAGCAAACACAATCTACTTTCAGTCTCTATGAATTTACCTATTCTGGACATTTCATATAAATGCAATCAGGCACTATGTGACCTTTTGTGTCTAGTAGCTTTCATTTATCATAATGTTTTCAAGATTCATCCACGTTGTAGTATATATCCCCATTTCACTGCTTTTCACAGCTGAATAATAATCCATTGTTTGAATATACCACAGTTTATCCATTCATCCGTTGATTGGCTCATCACTTGGGTTCTTTCTACTTTTTTGGCTTTATGAATAAGCTGCTATAAACCTTAAGGTACAAATTTTTGTGTGGACGTATGTTTTTATTTCTCTTGGTATATACCTAGGAGAGGAACCACGGGATCATATGATATCCGGGAGGAAGAATTTCGAGTAGAGCATGGTACTCAGATTGTTCTCTGACTTCCCTCTCTTAGATTCTTGCTGAATCCTAGAAAGCGGAAGTCAAATAAAAGGGAACAGAAAGTCGTAGCACTGTAGTCTCTGCAAGCTGTGGTAAGCACAGGTGCCATGAGCTGTGGACTTGTGTCTTGGGTGGAGGTCACTGACTAGAGGTGACTGGGACATGAAGAAGTGGCCAGGGACCTCCAGCACCAGCAGGAAATGTGAGCAGAAGGCACCCAGCAGTTGCTTATGTAGTGTGTCAGGCCAGTTTATCCCAGAAAGGCAGCTGGGAAGCATGGAGCCCTAGGAGGCCAGCGGCGGGTGAGGAGGAAATGGAGATGCCAGGAGTGGCTCCAAGGACAGTGCAGACCCATATGTGAGACATCCCCATGGGGTCTCTCAAAAATGGGGGAGGAATATGAGTGGACAGAAGTTCTCCAAGGAGAAGGAGAGAGTCTGTAGGTTCCATGAGAGTCATTCTACAGCAGAACCCTGTGTGTGTATGTGTTGGGGGGGGGGTGTTCTTAGAGGAAGGGCAGGTTCTAGGCATAGGGCTTGCAGCATGGGTGAAGGCTGCAGTGCTTCTGGCGGGCCTAGAAGAACCACCAGAACTGGAGGGGCCATGGGAACCAGGACAGTCTCCATCTCCATGGTAATCTTCATCATCATATCCCATTCCCCACCCTCCCTTTCCACGTTTTGACAGTGTGTAAGTCCCTGAAACCTTGACATCTTTCTAGCATTGGGTAGAGTCCTCAGAATGACAGAGGCAGAATTTCTCACCAGTCTTTTTTCTTTTAATTAAAAAAAAATTATTTTTTGGCTGCGTTAGCTCTTCATTGCTGCGCGCGGGGTTTCTCTAGTTGTGGCAAGTGGGGGCTACTCTTCACTGTGGTGCGCGGGCTTCTCATTGCAGTGACTTCTCTTGTTGCGGAGCATGGGCTGTAGAGCACGCAGGCTTCAGTAGTTGTGGCTCGCGGGCTCTAGAGCGCAGGCTCAGTAGTTGTGGTACACAGGATTAGTTGCTCTGCAGCATGTGGGATCTTCCCAGACCAGGGCTCGAACCTGTGTCCCCTGCATTGGCAGGCATATTCTTAAACACTGCGCCACCAGGGAAGTCCCTCTCACCAGTCTTGCAGGAAGGTAGTTAAGGATAGAACTCGTTGGTTGATAGAAAAGGAGAAAGTTGTAACATTTCTCACACTTGTGAGTTTGTGAACTGAGATTCCCACTGGCTACTGGTTCAAAGGAGGAAACATGAGTGATGTGTTCCCGGGGACAGTAAATAGATTGTCTCTTTGGACAACAATTGCTCTGTTGGAGTGGAGTGTTCACGTAGGGAAAAAAGAGGTTGAGGATGTAAAAGTAAATCAGAGATCGATAGTGAAGGGCTTTGGATGCCATGAAAGAATTTGGACCTTATTCTGTAGCTGTGGACAGGCATCTGGACCTTTGTCCTGGGCAGGACCAGACAGAGGCTCTTCTCTTGTGTCCAGGAGTTGGTAACTTGCCAGAGCTCCTATGTTCTCAAAAAGGAGATTCAGGACGGCGAGATTATCCCTTTTTTTTGGAATTCAAATGTTATGACCAAATAAGAACATGAAAAATGCTCACCATCAGGGAAATGCATATCAAAACCACAGTGAGTTACCATTTTCCACTCCCTAGGATGACTGTAATAAAAAAGACATATGATAACAAATGGAGATGTGGAGAAATTGGAACCGTCGTACACTATTAGTGGGATGTAACATGTTGCAGCTCCCTTGGAAAAGTTTGGTGGTTCCTCAAAAAGTTAAACATAGAGATACCGTATGACTCAGCAGTTGTTTTCGTTTTTTTGGGGTTTTTTTTTTTAGCAGTTTTACTCCTAATGAGCACCTAAGAGAAATGGAAACATATGGTCACATGAAAATTTATATGTTAAATGTTTATAGCAGCACTGTTCATAGTAGTTAAAAAGTAGAAGAAACCTAAAGGTCCATCAACAGATGAATTGATAAACCAAATGTGGTATATCCACACAGTGGAATATTATTCATCCACAAAAATGAATGAAGTACTGATGCATGCTACACCATGATGAACCTGAAACCATTATGCTAAATGCAGGAAACCAGACCCAAAAGACCACATATTTTTTGATGCCATTCATATGAAATGTCCAGAATTGGCAAATCCGTAGAGATAGAAAGTGGATTTGTGGGTGACAGGAGCTGAGGGGAGGGGAGAATAGGGACTGACTCCTAAGGAGTTCTCTTTAGGGTGACGGAATTGTTCTGGAGCTGGATAGTTGTGATAATCGCACAACCTTGTGAATGTACTAAAACCCACTGAATTGTGCACCAGTTAGAAATTTTAGAAACAGTGTTATGGCTAGCAGGGACCTCCCCACCCTTCTGGTCAGAATATGTGATGGACAAACCAATTGTCCCATTTTGTCTGGGACTGTGGAGGTTCCTGGGATGTGGGACTGTCACTGCTACAACTGAGAAAGCCCCAGTCAAACCGGATGACTTGATCATCCTAGCGTGTGCTGAGGCAGCGCTCAGTTATGACAGTGAAGAGAGGCCAAGTTTACATTTAACCGAGCAGTTTCTTATTCACAATGTGTTTGGCCTAAACTACCACCCTGTGAAGTAGCTAGGGCAGGTTGTACTTATCTCCTATTTAGAGACAAGGAACGAAGGCTCTGATGGGCTTAGAGGTTTGCCTGAGGTTGTATGGAAAAATGAGTGACAGGACTGGAAGTCAAGCCTGATCCTTAGTTTCCAAGTCCAAGCTCTTTCTTCCAGGTGGGCAACAGTTCATACATATTGGTGGTACTGGTCAACAAGGGCCTCACTCACCTTATAAATGCTGGCCTTCTGGCTTCAGAATCCAAGGGGGCCTCCCTCCTCTCTTGTTCTCCTCACTCCTAGAGGCTACATCCTATGGAATCACTCCTAAACAGTGATGGATTCAGCATCCGCTCCAAGTCCATCTTCCCTGTTCCTCTGGAATCTCTAGAGGCAGGGACTGTGTCTTGTCACCTCTCTACTTAGCTCTTATTGCCTTGCCTGGTACCATCTCTTTAGGCTGAATTGTTCTCTCTTTAGGTCTTTCTTAGGCCTCGTTTTCTGAAGTGCTTGCTGGTGGAGCTGGCACGATGTGTCTGCTGCTTTTCAGAGTGTGTTGTAAGCGCACTCCAAAGGTCAAACCAAGCCAGGATTTCTGCGGTGATTTTGCACGGCATGGCCTTGTGTGCAGCAGGCCACCTGGGACAAAATGCAGCTGTGGCCAAAGTGAGTGGTTAAGAAAGAGACAGCTTTCTTGGCTTTTAGGAATTCCGTGGATATTATGACAAAGGGCTTCATGTATACGGGGCCTGGGGCTCCAGCAAGGTCTCACAGGGAGGTTAGTAAAGCAGGAGGCACCAGTACTCTATCCTGGTCTGTCTTCTGGGAGGTTATGTAAAGTTTCCTTACCTTTCAGATGGGACAATTACAATTTCTCAGCTTACTTCATAGGCTTTTATGAATTTCAGATGAGATAATGATTAGATGGTTTTTCAACTGAATTTCATAGAGGCTGAAGATTCTATAAAGATTCCTCAGGAAGAGGGATGCTACTTCCATCCGTTTATTTACTTTCTATACTGAGGTGTGCTATTATTCTTCAAAAATAGTTGCTGCTCTTTCCTGGAGAAGATTATATTTCTGGGCTTTGAGGATGCTGGACTTGGTCATGAGATTTCTTTTGACCAATGAAATAAGAGTAGCAAAGACATGTCATTTCTGGGTAGAAGCTTTAAGAGCCAGGGTATGGGTTTTATATTCTCATCTCTTTTTCCTTTGCTATAAGACAAGCAGAGTTCCAGATAGAGGCTGATACATTACCCTGGGTCCTGAAATGAAGAGGATGTGAAGCAGAGCCTTAGCTGATCCATGATGGGCATGAAGCATGAATGAGAAACAAACCTTTGTTGTTATAAGCCACTGGAATGTCAGGCTCATTTGTTACCACGGCATAACCAGGACTATCCTGACTGATACAGATGCCAAGTAAGATTATTATTTGATTTTGTTGCTGAAAAAATGTTAGAAAATCACCGTAATGAATGCTGGCTGACTGTAAACTTCTTAATGAGAAAGACTGTGTCTTAATGTCCCATTGTTCTTTGTTTACTCCATGCCTAGTCTGGTGCCTGATAGAGCATCTGGATTTTAGTAGGCATTTGGAATTTGTAGAATGAATGAAATGAAAATGGTTTTGAAAAAATCAAGAGTATCTTCAGGAGAGATGCCATCATTATCATTGTCAGCTTCTATGGCACCTCTTCTTTCCTTTGTGAGTCTTGCAAAATGTATTAGTCAAAAATCAATATAATATTCTCTAAAGTATCATTATAATAATTATTAATTCCTCTGTTTAACAGGAAGTTTTTTATTCTATATCAAACATTCCAATGTTAAACATGCAACTGATAAATAGAAGGAGGCAAGCAGATCTAACTTAGCCTATGAAATGTTCTTCATGGTATCAGTTCCCCACGGTACTATCTTGAATCAGAACCACTTATGGTCTGGTTAACTGCATTGGGCCATAACAGCCAGGAAGGGGCAGACACAGAACACGAACTAATCATTAAGGTTGGTGGGAACCAGGAAGAGAAACTCAGCTGCAAGGGCTAGTGTAAGGCTGGGACGCAAAACGGTCCTGCAGACAGGCAGTAACAATGATGCATTTCATGTAATAAGGACTTGGAGCTATGTAGAGGCTGTGCCACAAGACAAGCAGGCATCCCACCAGGCAGTAGGCGACTGCTTCAGGATGCCAAGGGAGGTCAGAGAAGTCTGTCATCAGTCTTGTTCATAGAATGGATTCCAGTTCGGTGATTGGTGGGTAGGGTGAGGGGGCTGCTTCCAAAAGTGAGACAGGGTTCCAAATCCAGAGAGACAGAGTGCTGGGAAGGTTACGGGGCAGGACTCAAGATTTCAAGGCAAAGATAAGGGTTGAGGGTTAGATTAGCAACAAGGGTGACTTGACGTCAAGCCCTAGAGAATGGAATTAGAAGACTGAGAGTACAGGTGGGGCTCAGATGGCCCAGCGATCCTAACTATGGAGGCAGATAGGTAGAAGGAGTGAACCAGGAAGAACCTGGCATAGATTATCCATTCCGGTACAGGAAATGGAGCTATTAGTCTTTGCAAAGCAATGATGTAGCTAATGCCGTGCAGTGGATCTACCTTCCCCAAAGGAACGTTGTAAGTGTGGCTTTGATAAACGTGCTATAAGCGCAGGAACACATGTACATACACACACAGAGGAATCCAGAAGATTTGCCTGAAATTTGTTTTACTTGCACCCACTGACTGATACCAGACACCAAATGCAAGTTTCCTCTGATAGCCCTCCCAGGGTTTATTAAGTGGTGACTGTCTCGAAATGAGTCGTTCTTTTCTCTTCTTCTTCTTTAAAAACACATTTCTGAGAGTACAAAAAGCGGTAAGTTGTTATTAAATCCCAACACGTACCCAGGAAGGGAGAAAGTTTACGAGGGAAAATGAAAGGCTCTTGCTGCCTGGACTGTCCTTCTCGTTGATGGTTACCCATGTTTTATCCTCTCTATCAAAGTCCTTGTTCACAAAGTCCTTCGATGCCTTTGGCGTCAACCTGTGGCTGGAATGTTACCTTTGACCTTGATGCTAACAAGCACTCCTCATTAGTGCCATTTTCCTCTGGTACCGTCGTGACTTAACACAAATTACTTCCACCACAAAATTCTGTTTTGCCTAATCAGATCATGTCGCAGAAATGACACGTGCATTTTCCCTCCTAATTTAAAAACTGTACATGAAAAACAAGCATTTAGCCTTGGGCTCTAGGACTCCTCAGAACCTGGGAAATCTTGGGGCTGGTACTTCTATTTCTTGACGGTAGAAAGGCTTACACCCATTAGGGCAGAGGTGGCAAACAGCCTATAGGCTGCTTCCAAGCTGTGGAACTGTCTTGTTGGCAGAGCATGAAAAACTAGGAATTCCAGCTCCTTCTGGCAAAAATATTGGCCACAGTCAGCTGAACCTGAGTGCCGGCTGCCCCTTTTTGACTGATGCGGGTTTTCTGTAGTCTTCCCCTCTCCCTAGCGCCCCTTGCCAGCCGCATCATTTGGAACTGCTCATCTGCCTGGGCCCTGGGGGGCATTTCAGGTTGTGAGTTGATGAAATAAGCACTGAGCTGAAACTGCTTGATGGATGGGGGACAAATCAGTTAAGTCATTTTGAAAAAAGTCCCATTTGAAAAATCAAAACAAGGATGACCATAACTCTCCTCTCCTTGCCCTTTTCAACTCTCTTCTGCTTCTTCTGTGTTTTTTGGATCCTTCTCCCATGACTGATAAATCCCCACCTTTACACGTTGGGCCCCTGCTCTTCTCTGTGGGTCCTCTCCCTGAGTTAGCCCATGTGCTCCTGTGGTCCACCAATTGACTCTATTTTTAAAATTGAAATATAATTGCTTTACAGTGTTGTGTTAGTTTCAGGTGTACAGCATAGCGACTCAGTCATCTGTATACACACACACACATGCTTTTCCAGATTCTTTTCCATTATCGGTTATTACAAGATATTGAATATAGTTCCCTGCACCAGTTGATTCTCATCTCATGACTTTCTAATCTCTCTGTAGCCTCTCTTCCCTCCAGATTCTATTCCAGTATTAAATGGAGGCTTTACTGGGAGGCAGCTCTGAATCAAATCCTGGGTCAGCGGGGTGACCTTGGACAAACACTGAACTTCACGGAGCTGCCACACCTACAAATGGGTACCACGTAACTTCTTAGGGAGGTTGAGAGTATTGAAGATAATTTGTATAAATGCTTGGCTGTTGTTTCCTAAGTCCAAGGCCATTGGGTGTCAGTGCCCGATTCTCTCCATGCTGTCATGCTGCCTCAACCTCAGAAGCCCTTGTCTTCAGAAGTGACTTCTAACATTTAGTTGTCAGCCAGGGGGGAGGCCCACCTGGGAGTTGGGGATGGATGAGCAGCCAGGCCACCCTGAATGATGGGACAAGATAGGACTTGCTGACAAGACAGATTGCTCACAGAGCTTTGCGGGAGCCTGGAAGTGCCAAGAATGGGAGACTTGCCTGGTGGCATTCTGCAATCCTGCCACATCAAATTGGAGCCATTTATTTCTATCATTAGCAGCAAAGTAAGCAAGTGACTGCTCTGGAGCTTCTTTATTAACAATTATGACCAGCAGATAAACAAAGGCAGGGGAGAGGAGAATGGCAATGGTGACCTGGGGCTTCTTCCACCAACTTTCACATTGCTTCCTAAAGCAGAGTTTTCTTCTTAATTATGGCTGAAGAACGCTTTCAGAAAAGTTTTATTTTATGTTTTGATATAGTCTCCTACTTTTTTTTCCCCCCCAGAAGCTTCCCAGAACTGGGAGAGTGTTAGTGCGGGAAAGGAAGAGAAAGGAAAGTAAGATTTGGTACATTTCTGACAGTGGGCTTGGTGCAGTGCATCCTTTACTGCATGTTTCACTATATGGGTTTGCCTTCATAAGATCCTAGGAGGGGTTTGATCATAGACATATAAAGTCATAAAATTCTGTACCTTGGGCTTCCCTGGTGGCGCAGTGGTTGGGAGTCCGCCTGCTGATGCAGGGGACACGGGTTCGTGCCCCGGTCCGGGAAGATCCCACATGCCGTGGAGCAGCTGGGCCCGTGAGCCATGGCCGCTGAGCCTGCGCATCCGGAGCCTGTGCTCCGCAACGGGAGAGGCCACAACAGTGAGAGGCCCGCGTACCGCAAAAAGAAAAAAAAAATTCTGTACCTTAGCTGATCTAATCTTTTCATTTTATAAGTGAGAGAGAAGTCCCATGGCTGGTCAGTGATAGAAACAAAACAAGTGCCAGACCTTACTCCCCCCCCACCAGTCTCCCTGGGTGAGAATCAGGCACATTTAGGGCACCGCCAAAACGTCAGGGAACATTGGTGAGGATAACTGTGCGAGAGAAAAATGTTTTCCTTCTCGTGTAAAGAAAGAAAATTCCATCTTCTCTGTACATGAGCCAGTCCGTGTTTCTCTGAGCAGAGTGAAATATGCAGAGGTATTAAAACCTCTACTAGAATCCGGACTAATTTTGTTTTTTCCCTCTTCCACTTTTATTGAGATTTAATTGACGTACAGCACTGTATACGTTTAAGGCGTACTGCATAATGGTCTGACTTCCGTCTGTCATGAGGGGATGCCCACGATGTTTAGTGAATATCCATCAACTCATATAGATACAAAGCAAAAGAAAAAATACATGTTTTCCTTGTGATGAGGACTCTTAGGATTACTCTGTTTACAACTTTCATACGTAACACACAGACGTGCTAATTATATTCATCGTGTTGTACATTACATCCCTAGCACTTATTCGTCTTATAACAGGAGTTTGTACCTTCTGATCACATTCCTCCAGTTCCCCCTCCCACCACCCCCTGCCTCTGGTAACCACAAATGTGATCTCTTCTTCTATGAGTTGTTTGTTTATTTGTTTGGGGGTTTTTTTTGGAAGTATAATTGACCTGCAACACTATGTTAGTGCCTGGTGCACAGCATAGTGATTTGATATTTCTACACGTTACAAAATGATCACCACTGGACTAATTTCCTTTTTGATAAAAAGATACCTAATAGGAAACTGCTCTTTTTCTTCTGCTTATCGCATAGTGTCATGGCTGTGTTGAGCATCTAGAACACAGACAGCCTGGTATGGTTGTTATAGGAGCTAAGCCAGCACCCAGAGATGGCAGCGTAGAAAGAGGAAAGAATCCAGGTTCCAAAGATGAAAATGAGGAGGGACATTAACCAATCTTGGAAGTGAGATGCTTCCAGATTTGTTTTTGTTTGAGATATTACATTTTCCTTACTTCTAAAGACAATGCAGTCAGGGTTTTATGTTCTGCCAAGGAAGGCATCCCAAGGAGACTCTTTGAACCGCTGACATAACATCTGTTCAAGGAAA